GGGGGGGGGCACAACCAAAAAAAAAAATTAGGAAAAAAATCTTCCCAGGCATAGTCCAAAAAAAAAAATTCCTTGCTTGGAAGATAAGCCTATAAAATTCACTTAAAAAAATATTTCCAGCCATCAAGTGAGAAAAAAAATTTCTTCTATAAGTATACAAAAAAAATATTGCCTTTTAGAAAATCCACCCCCCCCCCATCACTTTTCTAATGGTCCGTCCCTAAAATCGTTAAGCATATCGCAGATGTCTGCGACTGTTGTCTGCCGATTATTCGACGACGTATTGTTTACATTAAAATCACGTTTAACATGAGAATTTCATCTCTGTGCGGTGTGCTTAGATCGTCCGCCTTCTTGTTTACTAGTTGCACTGGGACACGGGCTAGTTCACATAAACTCGTACAGTGATCGTAGACTGCCGGCGACAGTCTGCGTCGATCGCGAAAGTTGAACCAAGTTCAACTTTCCCGATCCGTCGCCGATCGTTCTCAGACAGTCTGCGAGAATCTGCGTTTGTGTTCGCATAACAATTCAGCGACAGTCGGCGACTGCGTAACGATTGTATGTGATCTAGGCTTAAACGCGTGCGCAGTTCATTGCGAACGTTTATCCTGCGGTGTTTATTTACAATACAAGTCGAAATACCTGTTTGTACGTTTTAATTTTGTGTTTAACTTATCTCGTATTCAGCAAATTGTATCAAAGTCTTTCAGGGTCATGTTTTAGTTTATACGCACAACATTGCTTTGATGTTCTGGAATAATTATATGCGGTGAATTGGCGAACAAGTCCGTTTGTTGGAAGGTGTTCAGTGGACGAGGTCAAGCTTGGCTTAAATTAAAACCAGAGACAGGTATGAGGAATATTCCAGATATTGTACAAAAAACTACCGTGATTTGTGTTTGTATACTACTTGGGACCAGTTATATAAAACTCTTAATTAACTACTTTTTAATTAACTGCTATTTTCTAGTTAAATGTTAGTTAACTCTAAAATACACGATTCTGACTGGTTGACTTTCGGATAAAGACATAAGTTAAATTAACTTGTCATAGATTTATATATTATTTTGTGTTATTCTTCACTCGGTAATATGAGGAGGCAAGGGTATTTTCGTGACTCGTGATTAGCAATTATTCGTGATTCGTGATTTAAAGAAATACCATTCCGTGAATCGTGATTAATGTGCGTGCCGCACTCTCCTCCGCAGAGGCTTTGTAGAGCTTTGTAGTTTGTTTTCTTTCTATATTGTAGTTTGTTTTCTTTCTATATATAACTGAAGTTTGACTATAGAGTTTGCGGGCAGTAGCGGGCTAGGCAGAGAAGTGGGCACGCGGGCGGAGCGAGCGCGCGGGGTTAAAAGGGGGCATCGTGGACATTTGGAGATAATAGGGAATCTTAAAAGGGGCATCGTTACCCTGGCCCAGAGGTTTAAGCCTCTGCGGAGGAGAGTGTGCGTGCCGTGAATCGTGAAGAGCTAAAAGGCTAGCTAGCTAGGGTCTTGAATTTACCAATATTTTACCCTAACTTGTGAATGTTTACGTTTAAAACTCGGCCCAAATTTAATATTATGGGGGGGAAATGAATAAATTTGCTTCCCGCGGTTGTCTTTCTTGAGGTTTCTTCGTTTCATTGGTAAACGTCGTTATCGTATACCTTCGTAACTCTTCGTAAACTTCGTGAAATATCGTACGACGCTCGTAATGTTTCGTAATGCCTCGCAATGATTTCCATAGTCCTTTAAACGGCTCTAATGTTAAAGTCAGTATGTGTTAAATGGTTTCAGACTTTGTTACGCTTCTGTGTTTCCGTAAAAATCGTGAAAATGAAATTTTGTTTTTCGTGACTCGTGAAATCGAAAAATGATCTTCGTGATTTCGTGACGAGACCCCCTTGCCCCTCTAATATGATAAGGAGAAAATGTTCTCGAGTGAGATATATAATAATTTTGCGCAAGCTGAAAACTTTGCCTGGCGCGGCTGGGCTGCCTATGGAGTTACTAGATCGATGCTCTACCAACTGAGCTACACTGTCTGGAAATTATGATAATCCGATATATCTGACTCGAGAACATTTTCTCCTTATCATATTACGAAATGAACAATAACGCAAAATAATATAACACTTGCAGAACTAGTATTGTTCGATGTATGTTTACGACATTCAGTATATAGTTCCGTGTAGCTCAGTTGGTAGAGCGTCGATCTAGTAATTCGAAGGTCGTGCATGGGTTCGAAACCCAGCCGCGGGAGCCGGCAGGTAAAATTTTCTGCTTGCGCGCTATCTGCAAATTATGATATATCTCACTCAAGAACATTTTCTACTTATCATTATATAATAATCACAAATCAATTAACACCTTAAGTAGTGTCACGAAAATAGACAAGTTCGTTGCGTCGGCTCAGTGTTGCAATGTCCTATTTACAAATGATAGATACATAGGTTGTATCTCTTCGTGGATGCATTACTGTAAGATTTACCTCGTTTTAAAATTTTCCATCTGATAGAGTAACTAATGCACTAGAGTAAAGTCAAAAAAGTGATATCAGTGACAAAAAAACAATATCAGTGACGATATCAGCGACGTTTTTATTGTCATCCTGTTATCGCCCTGCTAAAGGCAATGTGAGCGAACCCTCGACCTTCGCATTTCTAGAACGACGCTGGACCTGAGCTAACAAGGTCAAGTTGGGAACAATGTTGCTTGTTTGTGATGTTATTGGCATTTCGGGATTTCTTTCTTCAATGCCCATATAATTATATTTATTGGTGAGTTTATGAGTTCTCGCGCAGACTGCGCAGTTGGTTAGCGCGCTTCTCTAGAAACTATAAAGAGGTCGCGGGTTCTATCCCCGCTCGGGATCTCAGAAGTATTTTCTGAGTAATAAAACTTGAGAACAACTTTTACTCATCATATACGAAGCTTACAGTATGGAAACTTTGTAATGGCGCACGGAAGGTGATTAATAGCAGTGTCATTTGCGCACATTTGTGCCACAGATGCGCACATTAATTAATGTGGTCAATGGACAGCAGCGAAGTTACATTCTAGTATATTTGAAATGGAAACACTCGATTTTCAGGTTTGCGCGCTTTTTTTCCAAATTTTGCGCACTTTTTAAAAAAACTGAGCACGGAATTTATTCCGCGCGCATCCCAAAGTTTCCATACTGGGAGCCTTACAAACCTACCAGATTAACTAGACGTTTACAGTTGACACCTTGTCTAGTATTACACAACAATAAATTCAGACAAGCTTCAAGTACTTTTGAAAAAACCTCTCGCCGAGTACTGAGTTCTCGGTGGCGTACTAATTGGCTAGCGCGCTTTTCTGGAAACTAAGACGTCGCAAGTTCGATCCTCGCTTGGGGACTCAGAAGTATTTTCTCACTATCCGTATTTTCCACTCTATCAGATGGAACATTTTAAAACGAGGTAAATCTTACAGTAATGCATCCAAGAGATGCAACTTATGTATGATGTATCTATCATTTGTAAACCAGACATTGGAACACTCAACCGACGCAACGAACTTGTCTAAGTATTGGGTCTCAGCATAATATATATGTGTTGTGTAGATAGTTTGTGTTGTGATATTGTTCACTCGGTAATATGATAAGGAGAAAATGTTCTCGAGTGCGAAATTATGAATATCTCACTCGCGAGACCATTTCCTCCATTTTGTTTTTAAGTTTAGAACTGTAGATCCTTTGAGCTGTAAAAATGGGTTCCGAAATATTCGAAGAAAAGGATGGCGAATGTAAAGTGCGCGAGAATGGAACGATAGTTAAAGATTCGAAGCGAAGCTGGTTTGTTTGTCTTGGGGCAATCTGTCTTATTGGAATCTCTATGGGAATAACCAATTGTTTTGGTGTGCTCTTTGTCAGTTGGACACGAGAATTCCAGGAAATTAGCAGGACAAAAATTGGTAGGAAAGCTGATCATGTACGCACGCAAAAATCTCACATCTTGTATACGCACGTAAAAACGCACAAGTTGTTACAGGTTTGCAAACAAGTTGTTACAAATCTGTTCACAAGCTGTCGACAATTTGTGTTCACATTGCAGTTCCCATTTGTTGTACCAGGTTTGGAAGAAGCTGTTAACAACTCGTAACAAGCTAGCTTGTTGGCATTATCAGACTTGTTACAAGGTTGTTCTGACAAGTCTGATACAGTCCTAATATAACAAGAATGTTACAAGGTTGACGACACAAGGTTGTAACAATATTGTTATATAATACTTTTTGTTTGTGGAAACACCACGTAAATTTATTACCGCCAAGCTTTCGATCCGTATAAGCCTGGATCTTGATGAAGATGTTGGCACTAGACTTGCGCCCTGACTTGCTGAAGGCTTGCTACAAGATGTGAGATTTTTAACAACTTATTAGTTCTAACAAGCTTGATGGTGCTATCAGACTTGTTACAAGGTATGTTAATGTGTTTTAGACTCTCGTCCTCTTTGCATCCGGGTTTAATATTTCATTCTATTTCTTTAGCCTGGGTTGGTTCGTTTCATTTCATCTGGTACATGTGCCTATGCCCTCTGTGTGGCATCCTAACACGCTACTTCACCTTTCGACCTGTGGTTTTGCTAGGAAGTATCTTATTTTGCCTTGGACTTTTAATCTCGTCATTTGTCTTTGACATTTCAGTTTTCTACCTAACATACGGCGTGATATTCGGCACTGGGGCATGTCTGTTATACATGCCTGGTATCATAGTTGTTCCATTTTGCTTCCAGAGGCATTTAGCGACGGCAACTGGCCTAGTCGCCGCTGCCAATTGCGCTTTTACAATGTGGTGTGGACCGGTGTATGAATATCTTGTACGGCACTATGGCTGGCGTGCTACTTTGAGAATTGTCAATTTGTTTCTTATTCCCTTAGTTGTTTCATGTGCCTTATTTCCTAGTAAAAAACAGGTCCCCAGTGAAAGGCAGTCTCGTAGTTTTAAAGTTAGCGCATCGTTTGGAAGGATGGTAAAAAATAAAGGATTTTTGATTTGGATACTATTGATGACTTTGGTTTATCTTGGAATTTTTGTGCCCCTAGTGCATTTGGTAAGTGAATGTGTTAGTTCAATAATAAATTGATTTGCAACGTCTTTCTGTCTGTCTGTCTGTCTGTCTGTCTGTCTGTCTGTCTGTCTGTCTGTCTGTCTGTCTGTCTGTCTGTCTGTCTGTCTGTCTGTCTGTCTGTCTGTCTGTCTGTCTGTCTGTCTGTCTGTCTGTCTGTCTGTCTGTCTGTCTGTCTGTCTGTCTCACTGATCTAAGGTCTGTCTGTCTCACTGATCTAATGTCTTGTCTTGTCTTGTGTCGTGTCTTGTCTTGTCTTGTCTTGTCGTGTCTTGTCCTGTCGTGTGTCTTGTCTTGTGTCGTGTCGTGTCTTGTCTTGTCTTGTCTTGTCTTGTCTTGTCTTGTCTTGTCTTGTCTTGTCTTGTCTTGTCTTGTCTTGTCTTGTCTTGTCTTGTCGTGTCGTGTCGTGTGTCTTGTCTTGTCTTGTCTTGTGTCTTGTCTTCAGGGTGCGATAATTCGCGTACCAACGTACCGGAGGTACGCCAAATTTATGGTCTGGTACTTCTTTGTTTTTAGGCAAGTACCACGTAGGTACGCAGAAATTTGCTATTCGCGTACTTACATTTTCCTTCTAGCAATAACTAGCAGACCTACCAAAGTATTCAAAACCGTGAACCACAGTCACAGGTATTTTTTAGGCCCAATGAGGAAAACTACACTGCATGTAGCTGAGGTCAGACTGTTACCACCCTCGGTAAATCCACTGTAAATGAGTCACAACGTCGAGTCACAACGTCGACGCTTTGAAAACTGTTATATTATGTTGTACAAATACCATAATCAAAGATTCATTTGTACAAAATTGCCCATACATTTTTTGCTTTTGAACCAGTAAACTATACGTAGGTATAAAAACGCATGACTCGGAAGTAGTCTTAGGTACACGTCTTGACTCTTAAGTTTGTACCAGACCAGGTACGCGGCAAAAGTTGTCGGAGTACCAGTCAGGTACGGCTAAAAATATTGAATTATCGCACTCTGTGTCTTGTGTCTTGTCTTGTCTTGTCCTGTCGTGTGTCTTGTCTTGTCTTGTGTCGTGTCTTGTCTTGTCTTGTCTTGTCTTGTCTTGTCGTGTCTTGTCTTGTCTTGTCTTGTCTTGTCCTGTCCTGTCGTGTGTCTTGTCTTGTCTTGTGTCGTGTCTTGTCTTGTCTTGTCTTGTCTTGTCTTGTCTTGTCTTGTCTTGTCCTGTCGTGTGTCTTGTCTTGTCTTGTGTCTTGTCTTGTCTTGTCTTGTCTTGTCTTGTCTTGTCTTGTCTTGTCTTGTCTTGTCCTGTCCTGTCGTGTGTCTTGTCTTGTCTTGTGTCGTGTCTTGTCTTGTCTTGTCTTGTCTTGTCCTGTCGTGTGTCTTGTCTTGTCTTGTGTCGTGTCGTGTCTTGTCTTGTCTTGTCTTGTCTTGTCTTGTCGTGTCTTGTCTTGTCTTGTCTTGTCCTGTCGTGTGTCTTGTCTTGTCTTGTGTCGTGTCTTGTCTTGTCTTGTCTTGTCGTGTGTCGTGTGTCTTGTCTTCAATGTCTTGTCGTGTCGTGTCGTGTCTTGCCTGCCTGCCTGATTGTTCGTAATTGTTCTTGGTTAGGTCAAATGAATCTACAAGACCCCTTCAACAATTATTCAATCAAGTGAGACGCCAACGAAATCTTGATATTTACCCATAACCTATACATGGCAGTACCCTAGCTCAGTTGGTTAGAGCGCTGCACCTGGATCGCAGGGCCGCAGTTCGATTCCTGCCTGAGAGCCTATAGTAGTATTTTTCACAACTGCTCCTGTTAGGTCTAAAAATATAAAATCTGTACTCCAAATTTCCATCTACCAACTCTCTTCAGCATTTAAGCCGTCTATCGAGTAAGATGCGTTGTTATTTCATATTTTGCCTTCTTCCAGATGTCATTCTGTCAGGACATTGGGATACCAACATACATCAGTGTCTACAATATCACTTTAATGTCTGGCATGGAAACACTGGGCAAAGTCCTATCAGGAAAACTGATCGATATACTAAACTGGAATGTCCATACATTCAACATCTTGTCATTGCTAACATTGGCCGTATGTATAACCTTGTTGCCTTTGGCGAGAACTGCATCTCATGTCTTCATCTTCGCTGGATTCTATGGGTTTGCCATGGGAGTGCAGTCGTTGTGTGTTATTATTATAACTCCCGAACTGTCCCACCCGGACGATGCAAAGCATGCGGTGACTTATCTATTCGGAGCTCTTAGTATACCGGGGGGTGTTGGACCAGTTCTCGCAGGTAAGCCGTGATTGTAATTAATACAGTGTATAATAGAGAGTAATGATCATCTCTTATTGATCCAGTGTTACTACAGGAGGAAACGTAAACTAACTTTATTTATACTGGATAGCTCTATCAGTACGAAGCTGTTTTCCCTAGAGATCCAGTAAAAACATCTCTTATTGGTCCAGTGTTACTACAGGAGGAAACTTAAACTAAATTAACTTTATTTTTGCTGGATAGCTCTATCAGTTCTAAACTGTTCTTCGTAGAGGTCCAGTAAAGATTATCTCTTTTTGATCCTGACCAGTGTTACTACAGGAGGAAACCTAAACTAAACTAACTTTGTCTGTAATGGATAGCTCTATCAGTTCTAGATAAACTGTGTTCTTCCTAGAGGTCCAGTAAAGATCACCGATCTCATTGATCCAATTTAATGTTACTACAGGAGGAAACCTAAACTAAACTAAACTTACATATCTCTATCAGTTCTAAAGTCTAAACTGTTCTCTCTAGAGGACCAGTAAAGATCATCTCTTATCGACCCAGCAAAACGGATAATAATTCACACTTTTCTTTTTCACAGCGTGGATATTCGACGTCAGTCGCTCCTATCACTTGGCCTTTTTTATAGCTGGAGGATTTTTCGCCTGTGCTGCTTGTCTTGGTACTTTGATTCATTTGTTAGCTTCAAGAAATACTAGCATGAGTTATGACAATGTTTCAACTACTAAACCGGTTACTTGACAGTTTGAAAGTCGTCAAAAGATGTGCCTAATAAAACATGGGAGTTGACAAGCGAGAGTTTCCATGCTTTCTCGATACTCATTGCCCGGTGAGATTTGACTCCGGGAGATATTACCACATTTTTATTGCTGATTAAGCATAGAATGAAGCTGTGTGAAAATTATCGCCAGTTTCTCTTTCCTGCACTTTTCACGCATTTTGGAGAAGGCCCAGAAATATATTTCCCTTCCTGGCAGCAAAATCCTGCCCTGAGAGCAGAGCCTGATTTCCTGATTTCCAGGAAATCAGGCTCTGCTCTCAGGGTAGCAGAATCTAAAAATAAAAAATTTCCTGTGTATTAAAGCATAGCCTATCGAAGGGAAGATGGCTGTGAAACTCATTAGAATAACAATATAACTAGTCACTACAGGGTGTATAAAAAAAAATGTACACCCTTTCAAATTCAAATTAACCGTAATTTATTATAGTAATTTGACAGCCGAAAAATTTCTCGAATTAATGAATGCGTGAAAACACAAGTAGTGACAAGGTCTTCTGCACATGGGAATTTAGGGTAACTTCTATTTGTATGAACAAATACACAACTCAAAGAAAAATGTTTAAATTAAGCATTATTCAAGTCTGCATAAGATACACAATGGGCCAGCTTACTGCATGTAGAGCAACGAATATTTAAAAGTTATGGCTAATTTCAATTTTGTATAAACATATATTTTTCGAAAAGACGTTTGCCCAAGAGCTATCAAGCTCATCGAGGGGCTTACGTCGCTATTTACATAATGTTTAGGAATAAGAATAAGATAGAGTAGGTAAGACAAGGACAAACAAATTACTGGATCGTTTGGGGGATTCCCTCATAGAGCTTAACGAAAACGTTCGGATTCTTTAATGAATTGTTGGACAAAATTGAAAATTTTTTTGTTATCATCTATATTTAGATTAACATCGCCAAACAAAAACATCTTTAATTTTTGAGAATCCGACAAAAGATTCCAGCTATCACCACAAACTTGTGCAGCAGCCGAGAGTAAGGAAATCCTCAGAGCAGAATATCGGGGACACCTTAGCAAATAATGCATAATTGATTCATTATCTGCACCACACACACATGCTGGAGTTTCAATACAATCTATTTTAGACAAGTAATAATTTAGAGTACAACAATTGAGACGAAGCCTAGAATGTAAAATGGAGGAATATCTATCAATTGAATAATCAAGATACTTATTATAGCATGAAATATCAAAAAAACGATTAAGATTTTGTTTAAAAACGCTAATTGATAAAGTACTACGTTCATTATAGTCCATACTGTTCCATAACATAGTTGTTGAAGGAAAGAAAGAAGCTTTGAATCTTTCAGTTCTAACAATTTCAATTTGAAAGGGTGTTAGTCTAACGTACGCCCGTAACGAACTCGCATTCAATGAGTGGAGGTTCAATCTGAGCTTCCCTTGAGTGTCAATGTTGTTTTTGAATAGCTGGAGGGCTAGTGCCATTCCTTACTCGGTGACTACTCACCTCCAATTATTCAAAAACAGTATTATATTGACACTCAAGAGAAGCTCAGATTGAACCTCCACTCATTGAGTGTGAGTGAGCTTTTAGAATACGGGCGTAAGTCGACGTTATTTATAAGTAATAGCATGGCTTGAGGGAGATTAGTGATTAAATGGTCCCGTAACCCGAGGCAGGTTTGCGGAATCCCTGAGGGCGAAGCCCGAGGGAATTCCGCAAACCTGCCGAGGGTAAGGGGTCATTTAATCACTAATCTCCCGAAAAGCCATGCTATTAGTTTGTAATAGCATAGTTGCGCTCCCATTTAAAAATGGACAAACATGCCCTACTTGGAATCAGCGTACTTAAGCTAAAACATTTGCTTCATTGCTTGTGGGATGTAAAAGCTTGTTGCACATGCGCACTTTTTACGCTTTAATCGGTTACGCATGCGCAATCTATCATTTAACGTACCACAACAAAAACGCTAAATATATTAGTATAAAATTGGAGACAGCACGTGCGTAATTTAAATGATGCGGCAACTCAGGGATCGGATGATAGAGTATTGACGGCTCTGAGCTAACTGTTGCTGTTCCCTGCACGATTATGTGCGTGAGGCACTTGCCTAATGCGTAGTCGTCAGGGAGACAAAGGTGTGACTCTTGGTAACGGGCGATTAGTTCTAATCGCCCGCTCTAGCAGGGGCGATTAGTTAGTAATGGTACCTGTTGAAACAAAAGAAACCCGGGCAACTATGCTATTATCATAAATATGGTCCTTCACCGCCACGTGTGTATTGTATTTTTGCCAAATCCACCAATAACAATTTCCAATTTACCCTATTGTTCGAGTCACGGATAGGTAACTTTCCTAAAACATTGCTATTGATATTTGTGGTGTTACTCTGAGTGTATATCCACAACGGGCGAGCTTGAAAAATATGCCCGGCCACGGTGGGATTCGAACCTACGACCTTTGGAATACTAGCCCACCACTTTGGAATACTAGCCCACCACAGTAACACCACAAATATCATATTCACCTGAGTACACTACACCAACACAGAAAAAAATGGGTATGACTAAAGGGAGAGTTACCAACCGGAGAGTTATCTCGGAGAGTTATGATTTCGGAGAGTTATGTTCGAACCACGCCCAAACCACGCCCACTTTTCCTAATGACCACACCCGATTTTGTAACTCTCCCGACGTTTCCTTGAACTAACATGAGAGAGTTATGTTTGACGTAACTCTCTCTCGTTTACATTATGAAGATGTTAGAGAGTTATCATTTTTTATAACTCTCCACGTTCACGATTGTGACAATGAAGAGAGTTATGTCCGTTTTTTTGAGAAAACCTTAGTAAAGCTTGTTTCTTCAGATTTTCATCTTATATTTTGGTATTTTAGTTTATAGCGTGTCAATAGCGTGCGTCCAAACAGGAAATAGTACAACTTGACTCGGTCAAAACAATGAGATGCTTGCATCAGAAGGGTCAAAGTACCCCCAGAAGCATGCTTTGACGTGTATTTGGCAGTAAATACGGAAAGCATAGTTGCAAGAAAATTGAAAAAATTGCGAAAATTGAATCTTTCAGAAATTCAGGTTTTGGAAACACTTTCCCAGATCAGCCAATAGGGCATTACATTGGAAAGGTTTTCTGGTTCTATCTAATACGAGAGCTGTACCTGAATGCTGGGCTTTGTAGATAATGCAAGTGAGCATGTATTATAATTTATTTACTCGTACTCGCTTCACTTGGTAAGTACTAAAGTACTACTACTGTCTACTAGTTTCTACTAGCGTGGAATGTTAAAGCTGAAACTTGAGAAAAAAGTAAATTCACAATAATTTACTAAAATGTGGAAATTTTTTTCAACAAACTGACGGACATAACTCTGTTCATTGGCATTGCCACAATCGTGAACGTGGTGAGTTATAAAAAATGATAACTCTCTAACATCTTCATGAATGTTAACGAGAAAGAGTTACGTCAAACATAACTCTCTCATGTTAGTTCAAGGAAACATCGGGAGAGTTAAGAAATTGGGTGTGGTCGTTGGGAAAACTGGGCGTGGTTTGGGCGTGGTTCGAACATAACTCTCCGAAATCATAACTCTCCAAGATAACTCTCCACTTCATAACTCTCCGTTTAGCCGGTCCCGAAAAAAATACATTGCTATTGGTTAGTTGGGCAAAAATACAATACGCACGTGACGGTGAAGGATCAGATTGATGAATAAACATTGACTAACATAGATAATGAGTTATATTGTTATTCTAACGAGTTTCGCAGCCATCTTCCCTTCGATTGGCTATGATTGAAGTCACATATAAAAAACCCTGCATGTGTAGATTTCAGAGAACGTATGGTGATAAAACTTCAACCTCGACTTAACCTCGACCCAATAATTCAAAACGTTAGTCAAAATGGAACTAATATTTGCTTAAAATTGAAGGTAAAAGTTGGTAAAATCTGGTCAAAGTTTGAGATAAAAGATGTCAAAGTTATGAAATCGCTCGCAACTTTAACAATTTCTAAGATTTGATCATGTTTGCGCTGAAACAATTGCAAGCCTTGCTTTAATATTTTGGTCTAAAAAATATTGGAAGTTTTGCATCTGTTAGTCCGGAAAATATTGACCCCCCCCCCCAATTCTAGGAAAAGTTGGTCAAAACATTACGACCACTTCCAATGTTGATGTCTTCACGACGTCCCTGTTTGGAATTTTTACAACAAGTAAATCATATTACATTCTATACTGTATTGACATATATAAAGATGACAAGAATTTCCTGCAAGATGAAAGAAAATTCATTCCAGCACTGTCGACATTTTTAATAGCTCTCCTTATTCGTTTGCCTTGTAATCACTGTAGCAAGTTCAGTCAGAGGTGTGGAACTGAAGCGACTAGAGAGGGCTCTCAGGGGGGGGGGGAGACGAAGCACGGGTGCAACTACGACTGTAGTTAAACTTTGCCCATGTCTATCGTCCAGTTCACATTTTCGGGACAGACAGCCTCGTACCCAGGCGCTTTGATGGTAATTGGGGATCAGATTTTTCTACGATACCGCAATACTCTTTGTCCGCGGTTTGCATCGTAACGGCGTTACAGTTTAGCGCATGCAACCAAACTCGTGTATAAAACTTTTATTCAGCTGAATAAAAATTGCACAAATATGAGCAAAAATAAACGAAAACGACGATTAAAGGAGGAAGATTTTAAGAAAAAGAAGCTTAAAGTTGGTAAAAAGCTACCAATGCCGGATAATGTGACCAAAACCAGTTTTAAAGCAAGAAGCATCAACATTTCCCAACAGGTAAATTACGTAATATTGAATTTCAAAATGATCCTTTTCAGGGCATTTACTCCAGACTACGCAGGTTATATATACAGACTAGCCAGAAAATCACGATCTGTTTATAGTGGCAATGATTCTGAAACAAATTATCTTGGTTTTGGAATATATACTCATACCAATTTTATATTCAAGCGTAGGTTTTATATACACGTGGTCAAATACTCAAATTCGGTGTGCTCTATAAATAATAAATAGAGAATAATACATGGGTGCTTGGAAATACCAGATTTATTTCGAGTGTTGAACATCATATCTCATGAGTGAGCGCAGCATTATTTCATGTTCAACACAAGAAATAAATCTGGTATTTCCAAGCACCCATGTATTTTTCTGTTTATTATATAAAGGACAGTCTTTGAAAAGCAATAATTTTTACAGAAAAACGATAATTTTCACGTGAGATTATCACTTTTATCAGTGCTCGAAATCTCTATAAAGCACTATACTTTATATAAAGTAATAATAATAATCTTTAATAAGCGTGTTGTGCATATGAGTCACGTTTTAGGGGTGGCTTATTCTTGTTGGGAGTTTGTTGGGCAAACAAGCCCAACGGAAGTCGCTGAACGGAAGTTGACAGACAACTCAATTGTCAATAGACAAAATCACAAAGCATTTTGCATGTGAGAAATATTGCTTCTTTTCAACACTTTTTTCGTAGTTGATATAAATTTTAAAACAAGAAACGTCTTAATAGTGCTGATTTGGATGAAGTACAGGGAAATTGAAGCAAAAGTGAACGACAAAATTCAGAACTGAATGCGTACGTATAGAACAGCGGAGGGAACGATACAAATACGTTCTCAGATGAAGGTTCTTTTCAACATTTCAATGTGAATACGCTTAGTAAACATGCATTCGACTGATCACCATTTTGACCTACAAATATGTGCGTGTACTTGTTGCTCCATATATATCCGGTCTTTTCACAACGATCGAGAGTTTTGTGTGTATTTTTTCTCTTGTTGAAATCGACGAATTTAGGTCAATGTTCCATATGCATAATTTAAATAACTATTTTAATAGTATGGCTCCCAAATACAATGTTTTTTAATTAAAGAGACTTTACTGTAACATGTTTTAGCGCAAAGTAAAAGCAACCTAAATCGGTTGTTTTCTACCCCTGCTCTGTTACTCTGTAGTAGCGCCAAGAAAACTAAAGGCGATCTACAGTCCGTATGTAAACAAAGCCTTTGTTTACATTTTTATGTCCAAAATATTGAGCTTTATTCAACAACTATTTATATTTTCAAGCTTCTAGAGTATAATAAATGATCAAGAAACAACAATCAGGCTTTTCAATAACTCAAAACATAGTTAAACTGTTTGTATCATAAAAAGTGGGCTCATTTGTGCACATGCGCAGATCGGACTGTAGATCACCTTTAAATTTACATAGTTTTTTTGCTTTTCTTTGCGCGGTGTCTGGGCATTATTAATGGTACTTGCAAATTGTCCCAGGGAATTGTTTACCGGCCGGGCATTTGTCTCGACTGGACGTTTCTACAACAAACATGTGTTATAGTCGAAGCTCATGCAGCGACAAATTAATATAATGTTAGATAAATTATACATTCCCATTATTGCTAATATTAAATAAAATCCCAGTTTCCATTTAACGATTGTTCAAATCATACCAGATGGCCTGTTCAGCATTATTTGATATTGTCTTCTATTTAATTTAATGCTGATAAATATAGCTATGATATTGAGAGATGAGCGAATGTTCTATTTTCATTCACAAGATATGTCACACCCATCGCACATGAGAGACTAATTAAACTTGCGAGTTGTGTTTGACTATCTTGCATAAAACACTAGAATTCACAGCACATACAATCCTTGTTTATTTTGCTATGTTATAACTGCACAACCACTGAACAGACAAGCAAGATTTTGTTGTTCAAAAGCCGGGATGACTGCTGCAGCTTTTATACAAGGAAACTTCGGGACTGGTCATAAAGTAAAAGGGGGGTGGGCGGGCTGGGAAAAATAGGGGGTGGGTCGCTATTTTTGGGCACGGTTGAGTTATGGGTGGGTTATCGACAGTTAAGTGTAATCATAAGGGTGGTCCATGTAAAAATATGCAGAAATTTTTTTTCTATTTTATTTTTATAAAAATAGAAATAAAACATATAAGGATCCATGTGTAAAATTTATACCGCAAACTTAACCTCAAACTTAAAAGCTGAATTCACAGTGTCTTACTGTTGGCTAATACGTTAGTAGTGGCTAACTAATTTTCTGATAATCATTATTGCTAAATGTCACGAGCTTGGTGTAGGATGTTTATTATGTAACAAAATTAGTGTAATTTCTACAAGAGCATAATTAGTTAAATCACAATCATCGTTAGCGGTTTGGCTTTATCTGTAAATGTCAAACTATTCTCTAATTATGAGAAAGATAGTGCATAATTGCAAAGAAAGTCCTTTCTGTATTTAATTCAGGGCCTCTTTTTGTATGTATAGACTGGGGAGGACAATTGTCCCCCCTCAGCATTCTTACCGGTCCCTCCAGTCTGCAATTTTAACCCCCCCCCCAAGTGTCAGGTCCCTAAGAAATACCTGCAGTTGGTGGTCAACCAGCAATTGTGTATCAAAGTGAGAAAACAATGTTAAGTTGTTAACATTTCTGAATTTGACCATCATCTGCAGGCCCGTAACTAGCTAATTGAGTCAACCGAGTCAGTCGACTCGTTGCATGTATAGGCCAGAATTTGGGGACTGAAATTTGAACATCGCCAGAAACCTAAACCATGACTGAAATAATTTGCTTGTGGAACAAAGCATGAAATGGCAAATTTTTGTTTAGTTTTTCCAAGCAAAGATATTCCATGCGACCCAATAAGTCAAGTGTGAATGAGGAAAGCTTGTTGGACTATATTTAGCAGTATTTCAGGTGGGACTGGTGGGTTCTGGGGTGTTCCAGGTGGTTTCCAGGGGTTCTGTGTTTTACAATCACGGCTTAATTTAAATACTGTAAGAGCATGATGCCAAGAAAATGTTGTATGCTTTTGAACATTGGGGAAAGTTGAAGACTTTTGAGTATGTACTAGGTTTGGAAAGCATTGATGCTGTCATTGTCAACAATGCTAAACTGTTACTACTAGACATTTTAATAATATATATTTATATATATATATATATATATATATATATATATATATATATATATATATATATATATATATATATATATATATATATCTATATCTATATCTATATCTATATCTATATCTATATCTATATCTATATATCTATATATATATCGCATTGCAGCTTAATTGAGGCATGTAATAATTTGTCGATAAACTGATGTGTGTGCCAAGGAGTGTGTTCAATTGCACACCATTCACACGAGGACCCGCACAGTGTTTTCAATATGAAAATTGGACCCCTTTATCCAATTTCTGGCAATAATGATAGCTGATAAGACATAAGCTGCATCTCATCTTCAAACTTGATACCTGTTGCCCCTGTGGGACAAATAAACAATTAAGTCCCTGTATTAATATAGCTAATTTATTTGACAGTCTATATTGCCTCAGACATCAGCAAAACTTAACTTACAGTACTTCTTTTTCCACCATACTTCATATTAATTATCATATATTCTGTGTATGGTATTATTACTACGTTATTTATTTATTTATGTATGTCATTTTCACCTAGCACCCATATTATTATATTCTGCAATGCGATTTACAGATTTTGTTCACTGCACTTTGTTTCAAGTCATTAAATCCTTCTGATTGGTTTATTTTTATCACATGATATCTATAATTGTTTTAAATACAATTTTAGACATAATTGAAAGCAGCTCAGGTTAAAAATGGAACTGCAGGCCCTGCAGTTCTGGAGCAGTGCTGAGAGTGCTCTGACCACAAAGCTATACAGAGTCGAGTGCATAACAATGAGGCAAAAAAGCTTCTGGTCAAATCGGTTGCGAATCTCACTTCCATACTTGATTAGGTTCAGAATCTGAACCTTTGTGTGTGATTTGGCTGTTTGTAAAAACATATGTCAAACCGTTTTGGAAAATATAAAAAATTTATATACATTATTAATTAATTAAAATCATTGCTAAATTGAGCAGTTCAATGTTTGTTTATTTTACACAGCCAATTGCATAGGAGGTTCAGTTCCTGAACCTAATCATATATGGAAGTGAGATTCACAAACGGTTTGAGGCTCTTTCACCAAATTGTTATTTCGCCTTACCATTATTTTCCCTTGCCATTCTTCAAGAGCCTCTCAAACCAGGGTATGAGCAACCCAAGTTTGAGCCACAAGTTGAATTGCTTACATATCGAGTCACAAGTCAAGTTATTTCATTGTATGATCAAGTTGGGTCTTGTCAATTGCTACAATCAAGTTGAGTCAAATCTAATAGGCTCCACTCAAGTTGAGTCACTACCTGAACTTGAATTGAGTCAGGGGATTTGATCAAGTCCAGCACCACACTTCAGGTACCCTGCTTGCAATCTGGGAAAATAGTAATCAATCAAATCCACAGCAATGTCTAGGCAGGAAGCTGGTCCCAATATTGCCGCTCTACTCTGAAATCATATGTTCCAACTGGAACCAGAAATCAGACAATTGATATCATGAAGAATTTTTATTTTTTCATTTCAAGTTCCTTTACCCATTAAGTGTCAGCACTCTCTCCCTAAAGAGTAAAATTGTCTGGTGTTAGAGTAAAATTATAAAATAGGCCTAAAAGTAGGTGCATTTTACAGTCAAATCTGATGTTCTCTTGCGAGCAACATTCCAATATTGTCCCACAATATTGCAATTTTGATAAAAGTTTAACTTCATAAAAGATTGGTAAACAAAGCCACTATTAGCAAAATGGAAGCCAATAAAATATTCTGGGCAACTGGATTGGAGCTTCCCTTCTTCTATAGAACTTGCTATTTGTTCATGTTGGTTGCAAATTGCTCAGAGCAATCTGCCTATCACAGTTGCAATACTGTGGGACAATATTGCAATGTTGCTCGCAAGAGAACATGCAGTTTGACTGTAATGGGTAAAGCCTTGCTGTTTTTTTGCCAGTAATATATTTTGATGAATTAAATATTATTTAATCTGAACAAGTTGTAGCTTAACATTGTAACAAGTCAAGTCCAAGTTTAGTTGTTTGAGGATGTTCAGTTTAGCCGTTTGTCGTACTGGACTTGAACTGATCGAGTCACTGAGCTCACTTGAGTCCTTAGCAATGATTGACTCTTTACAATGTCACTGTTCGTGTATTATATATTATTCAGGTGATGCCAAAGTAAGGTTTTTAGGTAAATTAATTAAAGACTTTGGACTCTGTAGCTGGAGTGGCCTGCTATAGGGCATATGGTTGCAGTTTCCGCAGCTGGTCCTGGTCAGGTCTAAAATTTCCTTGAAATTCCCATCAATACAAAGTTATCAATATTCTGTTCGACCAAGCGAAATGCCCCAAATCTTGAATATTTACTTCATCTATTACAGTATTTAAACATGTAATGAAAGCTATATTTGCCTAATTACCAATTTGAAAGCCTTTAGAATTTGAAAACTAATCAATAAAAATTCTTGTATATTTAATACTAAGTTTGCCTTGGGCAAGCAAGAAGCTACTGCAGGTAAATTTCAATCAGTTTTATCCGAGTTATAAAAATGAATTTAATATATTTACAGCTGAACTTTAACTTTTGTCTACCAACCACAAAAAAGGAAGCAGAAAATAAACAACAGCAGAGAGTCAGAGAAAAAAATTATTTAATGGGTGAACTAAAAGGAAATTCTAACAGGCGGGGCTCAGTCCCCTGAGTCCCCCCCCCCCCCTGCACACGCACATACAGTAAATAGTGATCATTCGTATGTTCACTATACAATTACTTTATGGTTTCCGTGTTCGGATGGCCTGATCCAAACACGCGGGAATGTTGCGAGAGTTAAGAAAAGCGAGCGAAATCACGAGCCGAAGGCGAGTGATTTTGCCCGCTTTTCTTAACTCGAGCAACATTCCCAAGTGTTTGGATCAGTCCATCCAAACACGGAAACCATAAAGTAATTGTTTTATAAAATAACAACAACATGGTAGTCTTCCGTGTTTGGATGGCCTGATCCAAACACGGCTTTCGACCAATCAGAATACGCGTTATATACATGTTATTTTATAATAAAACGTACTACCCTTAAAAGTTGAAAAGAACCTTCCTCTCAGGATGTGTTTGGAAGCCCATTGTTCACTCCGCACGGCGCACGCCACCACACCTTCCAAATGCGAAATATCGCGTCCATATTCGCTTCGGTTTCGCTGTACTTCGGTCAAAACAGACTTTATAGCATTACAAAGACGTTTTTTGTTTATAATTTATTAAACAGTATGAAAAAGTGTTGAAAAGAAGCAATATAAATTTTCTTCCATCCAAATTGGTCGCTGCTTCGCTTGCATTTGGTTTCCTACTTCCTGTGGTAAGATCAGACAAGACCGGAAACGAATTACTGATTTTAACTTCCGTTTGTTGGGTTTGTTGGTTTTGTTTGACTTGTTGGTTTTGTTTGACTTGTTGGTTTTGTTGGACTTGTTGGTTTTGTTTGACTTGTTGGATTTGTTTGACTTGTTTGGTTTGTTGGGTTTGTTGGACTTGTTGGGTTTGTTGGACTTGTTGGGTTTGTTGGACTTGTTGGGTTTGTTGGTTTTGTTTGACTTGTTGCTTTTGTTTGACTTGTTGGGTTTCTTGGACTTGTTGGTTTTGTTTGACTTGTTGGTTTTGTTTGACTTGTTGGGTTTGTTGGACTTGTCGGTTTTGTTTGACTTGTTGGGTTTGTTGGACTTGTTGGGTTTGTTGGACTTGTCGGTTTTGTTTGACTTGTTGGGTTTGTTGGACTTGTTGGGTTTGTTGGACTTGTTGGTTTTGTTTGACTTGTTGGTTTTGTTTGACTTGTTGGACTTGTTTTGTTTTGTTTGACTTGTTGGGTTTGTTGGACTTGTTGGTTTCGTTTGACTTGTTTGGTTTGTTGGGTTTGTTGGTTTTGTTTGGCTTGTTGGACTTGTTGGTTTTGTTTGACTTGTTGGGTTTGTTGGAACTTGTTGGGTTTGTTGGACTTGTTGGGTTTGTTGGTTTTGTTTGACTTGTTGGTTTTGTTTGACTTGTTGGGTTTGTTGGACTTGTTGGTTTTGTTTGACTTGTTTGGTTTGTTGGACTTGTTGGGTTTGTTGGACTTGCTGGGTTTGTTGGTTTTGTTTGACTTGTTGGTTTTGTTTGACTTGTTGGTTTTGTTTGACTTGTTGGTTTTGTTTGACTTGTTGGGTTTGTTGGACTTGTTGGTTTTGTTTGACTTGTTGGGTTTGTTGGACTTGTTGGGTTTGTTGGACTTGCTGGGTTTGTTGGTTTTGTTTGACTTGTTGGGTTTGTTTGACTTGTTGGGTTTGTTGGACTTGTTGGGTTTGTTGGACTTGTTGGTTTTGTTTGACTTGTTGGTTTTGTTTGACTTGTTTGGTTTTGTTTGACTTGTTGTGTTTGTTTGACTTGTTTGGTTTTGTTTGACTTGTTGTGTTTGTTTGACTTGTTTGGCTTGTTGGATTTGTTTGACGTGCTGGCTTGTTGGTTTTGTTGGGTTTGTTGGACTTGTTCAGCTTGTTGGACTTGTTTGGCTTGTTGGACTTGTTGGGTTTGTTTGGATTGTTTGACGTGTTGGCTTGTTTGGCGTGTTGGTTTTGTGGTTTGTTTGGATTGTTTGACGTGTTGGCTTGTTTGGCGTGTTGGTTTTGTTTCCTTGATTGACTTGTTGGGTTTGTTGGTTTTGTTTGGCTTGTTGGACTTGTTTGGCTTGTTGGATTTGACGTGTTGGCTTTGTTTGACGTGTTGGCTTGTTGGACGTGTTGGACTTGTTGGGTTTGTTTGACTTGTTGGACTTGTTTGGCTTGTTGGGTTTGTTTGACGTGTTGGCTTTGTTTGACGTGTTGGCTTGTTGGACGTGTTGGTTTTGTTGGCTTGTTGGATTTGTTTGACTTGTTGGGTTTGTTGGTTTTGTTTGGTTTGTTGGACTTGTTGGTTTTGTTTGCCTTGTTGGTTTTGTTTGACTTGTTGGACTTGTTTGGCTTGTTGGATTTGTTTGACGTGTTGGCTTTGTTTGACGTGTTGGCTTGTTGGACGTGTTGGGTTTGTTTGACTTGTTCGACTTGTTTGGCTTGTTGGACTTGTTTGGCTTGTTGGACTTGTTGGGTTTGTTTGACGTGTTGGCTTTGTTTGAACGTGTTGGCTTGTTGGACGTGTTGGTTTTGTTGGCTTGTTGGATTTGTTTGGCTTGTTGGGTTTGTTGGTTTTGTTTGACTTGTTTGGTTTGTTGGACTTGTTGGTTTTGTTTGGCTTGTTGGACTTGTTTGGTTGTTGGACTTGTTTGGCTTGTTGGACTTGTTGGGTTTGTTTGGATTGTTTGACGTGTTGGCTTGTTTGGCGTGTTGGTTTTGTTTGCTTGTTTGACTTGTTGGATTTGTTTGCGTGTTGGTTTTGTTTGCTTGTTTGACTTGTTGGATTTGTTTGGCTTGCTGGGTTTGTTGGTTTTGTTTGACTTGTTTGGCTTGTTGGATTTGTTTGACGTGTTGGCTTTGTTTGACGTGTTGGCTTGTTGGACGTGTTGGCTTGTTGGACTTGTTGGGTTTGTTTGACGTTCGACTTGTTTGGCTTGTTGGGTTTGTTGGACTTGTTTCGCTTGTTGGACTTGTTGGGTTTGTTTGACTTGTTGGATTTGTTTGACGTGTTGGCTTGTTTGGCGTGTTGGGTTTGTTGTGTTGGGTTTGTTGGCTTGTTTGACTAGTTGGATTTGTTTTGCTTGTTGGTTTTGTTTGGCTTGTTGGTCGTGTTCGGTTTGTTGGTTTTGTTTGCTGGTTGGACTTGTTGGATTTGTTTGACATGTTGGGCTTGTTGGGTTTGTTGGTTTTGTTTCACATGTTGGATTTGTTTGGCTTGTTTGGCTTGTTTGACTTGTTTGACTTGTTGGTTTTGTTTGACTTGTTGGTTTTGTTGGACTTGTTGGTTTTGTTTGGCTTGTTGAATGTGTTGGGTTTGTTGGTTTTGTTTGTTTGTTTGCTTGCTTGACTTGTTGGATTTGTTTCGCTTGTTGGGTTTGTTTGACTTGTTTGGTTTGTTGGACTTGTTGGTTGTGTTTGGCTTGTTAGACTTGTTTGGCTTGTTGGACTTGTTCAGTTGGGTTTGTTTGACTTGTTGGTTTTGTTTGACTTGTTGGTTTTTGTTGGTTTTTGTTGGACGTATTGGGTTTGTTGGACTTGTTGGTTTTGTTTGGTTTTTGTTGGACTTATTGGGTTTGTTGGACTTGTTGGTTTTGTTTGACGTGTTGGAGTTGGTTTTGTTTGTCACAACTCCAGAAATGCTATTTCATTGAGAGAATGAGAGGAACAAATTCCCCTGACAAACAAAAAACGCATTTAGAAACCAGTATGACAACCAAACATTCCATAACCCTCAGCGCATGCGCAGTTCAATGCCCATTCTTCATAAGGAATGAATCACGGCACTTCCGTTGGGCTTGTTTGCCCAACAAAACTCCCAACAGAAATACGCCACCCCTAAAACGCGACGGGTATATTTTCCTAACATTATCATTAACATGAAATGTAGTAGGAACACTCATCAAACAATTCATTATTTTTAATCTAGAGCTTAAAATGTCCGTTGTAACCCTCATCAAGTTTCATTCTCGTTTGACTTGGGCTTAACAGAGGCCTAATTCGGAAAAAGCCTATATAGTTAAACATTACAAATACTGGAAATCTTGGACCGTTATTTTGCAATATAATTAGAGCGTATCATTATGTACACGTATCGCTCTGATTTTATTTTTTGGAAAACAGTTTAGAAAGTACATTAGATTGAAGTACGTTTAGATCTGGCTTAGCCGAATCGTTGCGTCATTTATACTTGTCAACGTTTGTTTTCTCGGTAGACAGGTGCGAATTCAGAGAGATAAAACAACTTGAAAAATATTTGCAGAACTTCTGCTTATACATTTTCCAGGTATAATTTCTCAATCCACAGCTGTCTTCTTTTTTATCGTCGCTATACCAATTTAATAATACACTGGCGCCGACCGTTCGAGATTCCTTTTCAAACGGGAAGGAGACAAATACAGGGACGCCGGAACTGGGGGGCAGCTGGGGCAGCCGCTCCCGTTGCCCTTTACCAGGAGGGGCAAGGGGGGCAAAGGTGCCCTTTCAATTTAAAGGATTGCCTTGGCGAAATAGCGAATTGTCAGAAATGTTAGTGCGATTCTTTTACGAATTTGCTTCAGAAAACGCAAGAAATAGCACAATCGCCTGGCGGAGAACCCCCTCACACCCAATCGAAATAGAAAACATGATTAGGCGAAGTTCAACTCCCAATGTTTTGCAAACATCTCTTAGTATATATCAATTCAAAAGTGCCCTTTCACGAAAATCTGCCTCCCTTGCCTTCACATCGTTCCGGCGTCCCTGGACAAGTGCCAGCTGGATCAGGAAACTGAACGTAAGTCTGTAGACACGGATATCCATACACACACGAGGGTGCATGTGAGTAAAATGTAGTCTATTTCAGGAAAAAATCAAAAGCGAGTTTTAATTTATGTTTATTTAAAACAATCCGATCTCTCTTATCCGAAATATTTGCAGTTTTGTCGGCTTCAATCATTACAAAAATGCGGCCTTTGACTTTGTACCGGCCTCTGAACTTTTCTCATGCAGGTGATAGTTTTCTGGGCTGGACATCAGTTTACAATCGTTGCCAGAATTTTTACACTTTGTTTTACTATATACGCAGAGGTATAGCCTGATATCGTAAAAGTCGATAAAGCACTCCTGCTCGTGTTTTAAATAGTACATAAGTCATAAGTTATAACTATCCAATCAATTTTCTGAAGAACGACACAACTACACGGATCATGCACTTTTGTTTACGGAAACCAATTTCAAAAATGCTTATTTTATATACGTCTTTACGGTGATGATATTATGCATTAGATATTATACGTAGCTATAGCGATGTATATTTGCACTTGACATGTGTATGCCCTGTAATTGTGTGCATATAACTAATTCTTATACCTTAACGCTATTCTCTTATAATCATTTTGTGCTACAAGTAGACAGTACAACTCGCATGAAACCCTGAAAAACACTGAGTATAAGTAAGAATATCGGATTTCGCTATACTATTCTTTTACACTTTTCATGCCGATATGTTTTGGCTCCGTGAATGCCGGGGTATGATAGCCTAGCTATAGGTTATATTGCATGGTTGGATAGTCTGCCTCATGTCAGGTTCTTGATTAGCAGGCGTTGTTGCTATTATGACAATTGCATGTAGCTAATGACTGCCAATATGAGTGAAGTAAACTAGCAGAAACAATCAGCTGAACCGTAAGCAAACGAAAAAGATTTTAATCATCATACGTTTATGCATATGGGCAAAATGCAAGCTATTTTGACGAAAATTTTGTCATAAATAGCACGCCTTCTTTCCCACCGAATCACCTTAATCAAACGGTGACAACTATCAAATTTGTTTCATGCAATCGTGAGACGTCAGGATAGTCGAGGACCTGTATATGAGTTTGCATGCATTTCATTTAGGACAGATAATCTCAACTGTTTTAGGGCAAGTTCGGACCATGACGGTCAACATGGTAACGCTGCCCGAACCCCAATCCGGGACGAATCGTCCGAAACTGACCACACCCAAAAACGCCGCTTTCGCCATACTGCTATCTACCAAACCATAAAAGCTTTGGCTATTCTGAGGTGCTTATATGGTTCAGAGATGGTACTTTTGGTAGTGGTCATTGGTAACTGTGAAATGCCTAGCACTAATATTTCACAAGAAAATGACCATGCAATAATAAGCAATTATTGGAGGAGGCTGAGCATGATATCAAGAATTATTCAGACCGAGGTCAATGTTATCTGCCGAAGCGAAGCTGAGGCGGATAACATAGACCGAGGCCTGAATAATTCTTGATATCATGCGAAAGCCGAATCCAATAATTGTTTTATTATACATTTAAAGACATGAGAAACGTATAAAACGATTCCTGCTCATGAGGTAGGAAAAGTACAATTCAAATATCAAACACCTTGCACAAAATCAAAGGTCAGCTAAATATTCTACTTCTATTTACCCCTGTGTGGCTTTTTTCGTGCTTTCACTATCCTTATCTGCCAATAATTTGGAGAGTTCACTTTCATTCAGCAAAGCAAATGTAGGCCATTGTTTGTTTGTTTTTTCGCGCGCTTATAGGTTCAAGCTTTTGACCGCGCAAGGGTTTGGGCACGAGAGAGTCCAATAATTTTTATTTTGGATGCAAGTTCGATCCAAAAAAACAATTATTGGACGCTGATGACGTCATCGGCGGAAAATACGTAATAAATGCCGAATACTGAAAATTAGCCGATGCTTTCTGACCAATTAGAAACGAGAATACATATTAAATGTATAATAATCATAGTTAAACGTCAATTTGTGGCTTGCAACTTCAGATAAACAGCAGTGGACTTACATGACCTTTTTCCCTAAATCTTTTTGATAGAAACATAATTGGTACTTATTTAAATATATTATCACTGGTTTGGTGTAAAATAGTTAATATTTTCTGACCAAAATAATAATTTGAAATGTGCCTACCTCCTGCAAATGGACGTATTTGGCCAAGTTCTCCACTTTACTCCGCTGTTTATCGGCGATCTCATCGACATCCTACAAAAAATGTAAATCATCTCAGACATAATGGTATCAAGAACATTTTAAACAAGTTTCAACTTGGTTTCAAGTAGATCATACCTGTTTAACCATCGACAAGGTAAATCCACAACTTTGTCCAAATTCGGCGCCATTTTGTCATCCCATGTCGCTTGTTAACAATTCAGCCTTGTTACTCTTCCATCCAAGCCATTTCCATTCCACTAATAATAAATTTAACCCTTTATAACAGGAGGAAACTAAAAAATCTAAACAAAATATATGAAATACGCCATTTTATCACCATGTAAAATTTTGCTCATGAGTCTTTCAAAACATTCCGTACAAATATCGTGTGACAACGTAACAGGGACGTGACAGGAGGGGGTGAATTATTTCACGAAGATAGAAGAAGGCTGCGTGAAATAGACTAATTGACTAAAAGCTAAATACAATCATACAAATGTTTGTTTTATTTCTTGTAGAAACAAATATATACATATTATTATTTATTAATATGAAAAAGTCATACAAATTAAATGTTGATTGTTGGTTTTACCATACTATGTGGGCTTTCCTTTCATTTTTCAAGTCTCTACCCTCCCCCCCTGTCACGTCCCTGTTGCTAAACCACGCGAGATTTGTATGAAATGTTTTGAAGGACTCGTAAACAACATTCTACATGGTGATAAAATGGCGTATTTCTTATATTTTGTTTAGATTTTTTTGTTTCCTCCTGTTATAAAGGGTTAAATTTATTATTAGTGGAATGGAAATGGCTTGGATGGAAGAGTAACAAGGCTGAATTGTTAACAAGCGACATGGGATGACAAAATGGCGCTGAATTTGGACAAAGTTGTGGATTTACCTTGTCGATGGTTAAACAGGTATGATCTACTTGAAACCAAGTTGAAACTTGTTTAAAATGTTCTTGATACCATTATGTCTGAGATGATTTACATTTTTTGTAGGATGTCGACGAGATCGCCGATAAACAGCGGAGTAAAGTGGAGAACTTGGCCAAATACGTACATTTGCAGGAGGTAGGCACATTTCAAATTATATATTTATTATCATTATTTCGGTCAGAAAATATTAACTATTTTACTCCAAACCAGTGATATTATATTTAAATAAGTACCAATTATGTTTCTATCAAGAAGATTTAGGGAAAAAGGTAACGTAA